TTCATGATTTTGACAATTTTGAACAAACTGGCATTTTGGCCACATATTTTGTATGATATCTCTCAACTGGGATTCATTTTATGTTTTCCTCATGATTAGACTGTGGTTATGGGTGCTTGGGAAGAAGACCACAGAAATAAAATGTCATTTTCATCAATTTATTTATTTCAGATATACATACTATCAATTTTACATTACTATTGATGTTAACCTTGACCACCTGGCTAAGACAGGGCTTTTTCAATTTCTCCACTGTTAAGTTCCTCATTAATCCCTCTTGCATACTGTACTCTTTGGAGAGAATTCACTGTGCCCAGCCCACACATAGGGGATGGAGGATTATTTATGCTCTATCTCCTTGAGAGAGAAGTAACTACAGAAATTATTTGGAATTATTTTCTATGGGAGATTTATCTCTTTGTCTTCATTTATGTATTTATTTAATCATATATTTCTATCAGTGTAAACACATGATTATATATTGTATGCTTTGGGCGATAATCCAACACTTTTTTGTTGTTGTTGAAATTGTTCTAGCGTTGGTCATTGTAAGCTCTTTCAGTTGGCTCCTTTGTCCATTTGACATACCCTATTAGTGTGTGTGTGTGTGTGTGTGTGTGTGTGTGTGTGTGTGTGTGTGTATTTTGAGCACTTTCTTACTGGAACTATAAAATGATCCAAAATTATTTTGAACATTTCTTGTCCCATTTATAGGATTAGAAATTTCTCCAATGAGCTTTGATTCCTTTTATTGAAGAATGATATTAGAAACTAAAATCTGGATGTTAGGTTTGTGTACATACTGGAGTATCATTGCTTTTAGGATTTCTTAAATGACAGAAAAAGGAAATATGTATCTGTATACTATCCTGTGCATGTTCACATATCTATAATTATTTCTGTATGTATCCATCTGTATCTATATTAAACTTGAGTTAATACTGATCCCTGCAAATCTAATCCATTACCACATGGATCTCTCTAGCCTTCTCTCATACATTTATAGTACATTTATACATTTATAGTATAGTTAGATTCATCTGTCAAAGTCTACATTCTTTCTTGGGATCCCATGACCTCCTAAACGATTTATTAAAATTTACATACATTGAGGTTCAGTCTTGTAAAGTTATGTGGGTTTTGACAAATACATAATGTCATTTATCCACCATTACAGTACCACACAGAATAGTTTTATCACCCTAAAAAAATCCCCTGTGCTTTACTATTTCATTCTCCTCCTCCCACAAGCCCCTGGCAACTACTGATTGGTTGATCATTTCTATAGCCTTGCCTTCTCCACAATATCACATAAAAAAAATTATATGGCATGTAGCCCTTACAAACTGGCTTGTTTTACTGGTCAATATATATTAAGATTCATCCGTATCTTGTATGGCTTTATAGCTCAGTTTTTGATCACTGAATGCCATTGAATTCTGCATATTATATGGATGTACTGCAGATTATTTATCCATTTACCCGTTGAAGAATATCTTGGTTGCTTCTAGTTCTTGGTGTTTATGAATAAAGTTGCAATAAATATTTGCCTGCTGGTTTTTGTGTGAAGATATTTTCAAATAAGTTGGGTAAATGCTTAACATTCAGTTTCTTGATTGCATGGTTAAGACTTTGCTTAGCTTTCTACTGTCTTCCATTTTGCATTCTCATCAGCAATGATGGGAGTTCTTGTTACTCAGCATCTTCATCAATAATTAGTATTGCTATTCTAACACCATTTAAATAGGTGTGTAGTGATTAAATTGGTTCAGTTTTGCTTAGTGATCATCCATCTCCAATGGAAAAATACCACCCATCAAACACATACGTGGATTTATAACTGAACAGTTTTGATGGTTAAATGCTTTCTTTTACATAAATTTTTTTACCATTAAAACTTGGCATTTACCACATTTTTTTTCTCTAAGGATATATAAAATACAGAATAGTGTATTGGTCATTTACTTTAACTTTGAATTAAAATAAGCTGGGCTTTAATCTAGACTGTACCACTTATCTCTGAGGCTATGGGTAAATCATTAACTTGCCCTGCTTTAGTGTCCTAATCTTTAAAACAGAAACAATAACAGAAACCAACTGAGGAGGTGATATAGATTTAAAGAGTTACTACATAGGAAATATTTAACATGATTCCTGGAAGATGGCAACCCTATTGAGGGAATGTGTTCTCTTTCCAGGTCCATGAGGAGGGCGTAGCTTTAAGGGCAAGAATTTCCCCAGCGCCATGCCCCCTACCATCTCTCCATCCCGGAGATTCAACGGTTTGTGTTTGAATTTTGCTGGCACGGAAAGAAACTAAAAGTCGATCACTCCAGCTGAAGTTCTAAGGAACTCCTTTCATTGGCCCAGGATCTTGGAGAAGGTGGGGGTTTCTCCCAGGATAAAAGTCTGTGCTTCACCTGCGCCAGATTTTCCAGCTTTCTGGAATCCCCTCCCACACTCTTCATGGAAACCTTTCTCTTCTCCTTTCCTTCTCTTTTCTCTACCTAAATAAAATCACCTTTCTGCAGCACTGTTTTGGGTCCAGTATTCACTTTAGGAGCATACGGTCCACCTGCAGTGGCCCCACCACTTATTCCTTAAGACGTTGGAGGCCAAGAACCCACAACGATCACTGGCATCCGAGAAAAACCCAGTTACAATATGATAATTATTATTACTGTATTACTATTACTAGTGCTGATATTAGTACTAGAGAAGGCTCTGTTGTTTTTTTTTTTTTTTTTCTTAAAAACTATACACTTTTCAATCCTTCACTTTGGAGCTGCACTGATCTTTTTCACCCAACCATGCCTCATAAAAACAGAATAAACACACTTCACATTCATTAAATTTCTCGAAGCATGAATTTTTTCTACTCCAAAGTGCATGGTAGAATAGATATTTGCAAAGGCAACCTAAGTGTTACAACTCATTGGCTTCCTGTTACTTTTTGTATTACTAATAATCCCTTGCATTTGCTCAGTGCTTTAGATTTTACATAGACCTGGCTTCACAGATATTATCTCATTTGCCTTCTCAGAACAGATTTCTGTGGTAGGCAGGGCATGCTAAGTAGCCTTTCATTTTGATTAGTTGAAGTAATTTGCCCCAAATCACCTAACAAGTAAGGGTAGAGTTAGGATCTGAATCCAGGTTGTCTGAATACCGATTTCATTGTTCTTTCAAGGAAACCAGGTGAATCTTCAGATGAAATGGTACATCAGGCTGCCTGGGACACTCATTATTTCCCATTAATCGTGGAACCATGTGTTTCAAATCCATGCAGTCGGGATCATGGGTGGCAGGGATCTTCAAAAGGGGATCCACTTGTACTGTGGGGCTTTAAATCAGCTATGACGTCACCAGTCCTCATGTCTCACAGGTGACCTCCTACAATCTAATATGTGTATAATAAGCTCCCCAGCACCATTTCTAAAGCACTAGATTGTTCTTGGTAAGGAGTGTAGTAGCCAGATTTTTACGCTCTTTCTGGTACTTACCCCAATCACCTTCCTCACTTTTTATCTAACTCACAAAGCTAAGCTTCTATCAGTTTTGTTGGTTCTGTGAGTCCATACTCCTGGTTCTGTGTGATTATCTAGGAGTAGACATTTGACTCTAGATGGGCTAATAAGATGCTCCCTCCTGGTAGATAAGACTTGGGGCCCAGAGACAGCAAGTTAAAAAATACTTGGCCGGGCGTGATGGCACATGCCTGTAATCCCAGCATTTTGGGAGGCTGAGGCGGGCAGATCACGAGGTCAAGAGATCGAGACCATCCTGGCCAACATGATGAAACCCCGTCTCTACTAAAAATACAAAAATTAGCCAGCCGTGGTGGCATGGTGGTGACTCCCAAGTAGTTCCATCTACTTGGGAGGCTGAGGCAGGAGAAGCACTTGAACGCAGGAGGTAGGGGTTACAGTGAGCTGAGATTGGCCCACTGCACTCCAGCCTGGCAACACAACAAGACTCTGTCTCAAAACAAACAAACAAACAAACAAACAAACAAAAAACCCCCACAAAACCTGTGAAATGCATGGGATGGACATTTTCTGCCACAGAAGCAGAGATGCAGAGAGTTCTTTTGCAGAAAGAAAGAAATATAAGCATAGCAAGACAATGAGTTAAAAAGGAGCATAGATACACATATAGAGATGTATAGAAAGAAACCATATGAGATTGAGAAAGGTTTTGTCCCGACATTCCAGTCCCTTCCAGAGACCTTGTTTCATTACTTTCCATGTGTTACTTGAACTAATTCTTTAATTTTCTGACCTCCATTCTAAACTGGAGGGCATCTATTGGTGTCTGTTATTCTGACAAAGAAAATAATCCTAATTTATACAGGAAATGAATTTCTTCTAATGCAAAATTTACTATTGAGCTGTGGCCAATGCAGCTGTTAACAACAGCATTAGCTTTCACTTATCATGGCCACCACTTAGTTAGTTTGTGGATTCTACATACCAGGATGTACTCAAATTACTTAATAGTATTTCTACCTTGATGCAAATAACCCTTTAAAGCGTCCCGGAATCTCAGCAAAAGGGGTTACTTCTCAGGTCAGCTATTTCAATCCAATCAGAATTATTTTCTTTCATTTCCCTGCCAGTTTTTGCTTAAAATCTTCCATGGCTGGGAAGCAAAGCATAAGAGAGTGAGCATGGATTTAGATTAATCCAGCTCTTTGTTCAAAACCTGTTCTGCAACTTTCCAGTCTTAAAATCCTAATTACTTAGCCTCTATGACTCTTTCTTTCCTCACTTGCAAATGGAGATTAAAATGTTCTACTTTATGGATTTTTTAATGGAGATTTTATGGAACAATGTATTCAAAACACCTGCTCTACTGCCTACTCTATAGTAGACACTTAATAAATGTTATTCATTCCCAGCTTTTTAGGCAATGCATCAGTCATTCTTCTTTATGCTGAAACAGTGGCTCCTAACTGTGTAGTCTGCAGTATCCCTGTGTAGGATTAACAGGCAGTCACGATGATGACTGAGTCTAAAAGCCTGAAATCAAATCCTAGACCTACAGCTTTCTTGCAGGACCTGTGATAAGAGAATGTGTGATAACTTCCTCAGATTCCTTTAAAATGAAGAGCTAGACTAGTGCACACTTGAGATCCTTTTACAATGTGAAATATTGAGACTCTAGTATTTACCCTTTAGGTTTTGATTTTATTTATATTAAATAAATTATAATACTTTACACTCTAAAGTGCTATTGGTTGGTAAACAAGTACCTTTCTGCGCTATATTTCCTGTGGCAAAAAAAAAAAAAAAAAATACTGACTTCAAAATAAGCCATTGTAAATTTTTGAAAGATCTCATTGTCAAGTATCTTTCTACGGTCAGACAAAAATCTGCCTCAATCCAAGTAATTAGTGCCACTTCTTCCTTTACCTTGATCAGCACCTCTGGTCCCAGAATAAGATCAGGTGTGCACTAACTTGTCTTTGTCCCTTCCTAATTTCCTTTCCTCCTCTAATAATATGTGTTAGCTACTCAGATGCTTTCCTTCATCTTAAGCCCCCATAGCCTGAAATTTTGTGAAGCCATGGAGGTGAACTCTATTGGAAAATGAGATTCTGGCTGACAGTGGAACATTGGAATATATGATTGTTTTAGAAATGACTTTTACTAATAGTCCATTGATGATGTTTCAGTAAACTGGAGTTTGGATAAATATTTTCTGGGTTTAGCCCTCTCCTACATGCCAAGCCTCACCCTTGCCCTCCCTCCACTTGCTCTCAGTCCCAGTCCCTAACTTGAATCAATTTATGCCTTCATTGATTGATTCACTCCTTGAATATTTATTGAGTTGCTACTACATATAAAACCCTCTGTTAATTTCTGATTTGTACTTCAAAGATAAAAAATAACTGAACCTTGCCCTCAGGGAACTCACAGGCTAGTAGAAAGAGATATGATACACATATATATGCAACCAAAAACCAAGGAAGAAATAATATCACGGCTCAATATTTTTCAAACCATAAATTGCAGCCCATTTGCAGGACATGAAATCAATCAGTAGGTCATGACCAGCATTAAAAAAATAAATTGAATAAAAATATTTGACTGAATCACAAATTAAGGACACATGTTGTTTTGTGAAAGTTTTATAAGTTATGTGTGTGTGTGTGGAGGGGCACTATAGTGTAATATGAAGTGTTTTTACTATGCATCTGATATAGTTTGGTTCTGTGTCCCCACCCAAATGTAATTTCCATGTGTCAGGGAGGGACCAGGTGGGAGGTGATTGGAGCATGGGGCTGGTTCCCTCATGCTCATGTTCTCATGATAATGAGTGAGTTCTCACAAGAGCTGATGGTTTTAAAGTGTGGCAGTTCCTTGTGCTCCCACACACTCCATCCTGCTGCCTTGTGAAGAAGATGTCTGATTCTTCTTCGCCTTCTGCCATGATTCTAAGTTTCCTGAGGCCTACTAGCCATGCTTCCTGTCAAGCCTGCAGAAGTGTGAGTCAAGTAAACCCCTTTCCATTAAAAGTATTCAGTCTCAGGTAGTATTCTTTATAACAGTGTGAGAACAGACTAATACAGCATCACACTGAAAAGTCTGAAGACACTATCTTAGGAGAGAAACAGATAAAGAAACCCTCTCAAGCTTAATGTGTCTATGACTCAGCCAGGAATCTTGTTAGGATGGTTTCTAATTCAATTGCTGTGTGCTGGGGCCTGAGATTTTGTTTCTGATAAACTCCCAGGTGCTGCTGTTGCTGCTCATCCACCCAAGAAGACAAAGTGCTAGATGGAGAGACTATTTCCCGAGGAAGAACCTGAGGAAGTCCCTGAAGTCATTCGTTTGTGACTTCAAGTGCCTCCAAGGAATAAAAGAAAATATACTTCTCCCTTCTTTGTCTCGTTTTTGCTTTTGGTTGATTGATAGAAATCCTAACTTACCCCATTCTTCACTAAGGATTGTTGCTGTCCGGCTTCCAGGCGCTGAATGTTAAAACCAAGGGACCAGATCTGCTTCAGGCCAGTTACTGTGAAAAGCTCCACTGTTTTATCTGAGGGTTGGCCCCCAGTTTTCCATCGTGTTTTAAACATTGGTGCCTTTCCATACAATGTCCCCTGCAATTAACAGTAGAGTCCTTACTATAAAGAAGGTTTTTAAAAACAGAAGCAAGAAGAGTTTTATTTATTCTACCTTCTACCGGCTACCCCATTGCATCAGGGTTTCACTTGCATTCAGATAGCTGCGTTGACTTCCTAATGGTTTCCTCTGCCTGAAGTTCCTTTTCTGTCTCCCTCTACCCATCCCCTTCCCCTCTTAAACCATCCTGTACAGGGATATATTGATCAAGCTAAAATGAAGCTTCCATTATTTTCTTTTACTGCTTAAAATCCTTCAATGACCGCCCCCCCTTCCATTCATTGTCTAGGCAAGCTCTCTGCTCCTGCCAAACTTGTTTGCTGCTGCTCCAATGTGTCTTTCTTCATCCTTCATTTTGACCTCTCACATCCTCCTCTCACTTTTCCAGCTATTCGAATCCTGCCTACTCTTTAGGTTTTAGCTTAAATCCCACTTCTTTCATGAAGCCTTTTTTGGAAACCCCAGAGGGAATGAATGTCTCTCTCTCTTTCTCCCTCTCTCTCCCTCTCTCTCTCTCTGTGTGTGTGTGTGTGGTGTGTGTGTGTGTGTGTGTGTGTGTGTGTGTCTTTCTCCCTTACCCCTCTTTTGCTGATGTCTCATCTCAATAATGCCAAGCATAATTTGTGTACTGGCGTATGGAAGAAAAAGCCCGGGATTGGCAGGAGCAGACCAGAGTGGGAGCTGACCAAACCGGATGTGTGTGACAGCGGGCAAGCCACGTGTCTTCCCTGAGGCTCAATTTCTCCATTAAGATGAGAGGATCGGAGATGATGATCTCTAAGTGATTGCACATGGTGTCCAGTATTACGTGTGTTTTGCTAACTTTGTTTCTTTAAAGTTCTCATTTTCTATTACTGTGAAATGTTCTTAATTGTCGTTCTTGTTAGTATTGCGCTATTGCCCATCTTTTAAATTGTCTTTTAATTTTTAAATTCTCGTGTTTTTGTTTTTCTTACTCATAAAGAAACCACATTTTATGGCCAGGGCAATGAGGCCCAGGGAGAGCCTGCCTAAGGGCACGCGGAGCAGAGAATACATTACTCCCAACTAGGGAGGGCCCTGTGCACCAGACGCTGCCCGGCGCCGCTCAGAGTGGGTGCTCACGAATTATTTGTCAATTGATTGGAGGTTGCCAGGCCCATCTTGCAAGACACCTCCCTTCTCCCTGGAAGGAGAAACCCTTGGAGTCTGTTGGTTAACGGGAAAAGTGCTTTCTCTGGGAGGAAGGCGGGGCACGCCGGAACACGCTCTCGCTGGGAATCCGCACACTCCTTCACCCGGTGTTTCTTAACCCCTTTCTTCTCCGGGGAGTGGAGAGGGGCCTCAAGGATACTAGAAATCCGTCCCCTCGGCGGAGACACGTAGTCGCCCCCTCACCACCACAGCCGACTGATCTTGCGGAGTGGATCTCCCCCAACCCCGCCGGCGTTTCGCTCGGGCTCCCTCCGCTCTGCAAAGGGAGCAGGGAGCTGGGGGAGCCTTGCACACCAGTCTTCCCGGAGCTGCAGACGAGGAGCCCCGCGCCCTCGGGAGCCTCTCCGCGGCTTTCCCTCCGCCGCGCGGCTGTGCAGCCTCTCCCCGCCGCCCCCACCAGCAGCTCGCCCTCGCTCCCCACCTCCAGCCCCGCCAGCCGGAGCGCGCACACCGGGGCTCCGGCACGTGGGCGCGCGGGAGGTGGCGGCCGCTGCTGCCGCTGCCGGAGCCCGAGCCCGAGCCGGAGCCAGAGTCCTAGCAGGAGAGATCGCCCTCCATGCTGCGGGCGCTGCGGCCGCCTTCCGCTCAGCCTCGGGTCCCAGGCGAGCCTTGCGAGCCGGCGAAGCAGCGGAGGGGAGGAGGACTAGGACGGGAGGAGGGGCTCGGCGGGCTGGAGCGAGCTGGGCTGTGAGCACTAGGGACCCGCAGCCTGGAGGAAGCAGCCCCGCTCTATCGCGCGCTCTCTGCTCTAGCCGCTACTGGGGGCTCCAGGCAGCGCGATGCCGCTGCGCTTCTTCTAGGCGGCGGCCGGCGGAGACATTCCGCAGCCGCTTGGCCCGCACCGGCCCCTGTTCCGCTGGCAAATCCCTTGTCTATCCGGAAGGACGCACCCTGCCGCCAGAGCCGGAGCGAGCGGGAAGTCCGAAGTCAGCCTCCAGCGCCTCCAACTTCCCTGTGAGCCCCTCTCCCTGCCGCAGCCTGCGCCAGACCTGGGAGCGATGCGCCCCCAGCCGGGCGGCGCGCCCTCTGCCAACTCGCCACCCATGGGATCGACTGCTCTCAGCTGCCCGGCTTGGAGTGCGTAGCCTTCGCCGCGTGGCCCAGGAGAGGAGCAAGACAGCGAGGCGTTTCGCGGACTCCGCGAGCACTGGTCGGCTTGGTGGCTGCTGGATAGCGTTTATACCAAGGGGTGAGTAGCCCGCTAGTGGAGGCGCCCTTTACCCCCAGCTAGTGGCTTGCATGGATGGCAAAGACACGGGAGAAAGTTGGGTCTCCTTGCACTTATCCTGGGATTGGCAGCGGAACGCAACATTGGTTCCTCCAACACGATTGCCTTGGGGCTTCCCCAGTTCCCTGCATCTCTAAGCCAAGGAGGGAGTCCCCTTCCGCTTCCCAAGGAGAAAAGTGGCTCCCTAGAGCAGATCGCTGACTTCCTCACCAACGTGCCATTTGGGGCTTTTCAGCCGCCCGCGCGTGAAGCTAGCTCTCAGCATAAGCGCTTGGAGATCCGCAGCCGCCTGGGCGCGCTAAGAGATCGTGGGCAACCCTAGCCCTTAGGGTAGGTAAAGAAAGGTAGCCCTTTCTTTAATGAACGCGCTTCATTAAAGAAAAGAGACTACTGGTATATTAAGGAAGTGTAAGAGTGTGTGTGTGTGTGTGTGTGTGTGTGTGTGTGTGTGTGTGTGTGTGTGTGTGAGAGAGAGAGAGAGAGACATGCTCCAGGAAAGGTAGCCCGAGTAGTAGGCGCGACTGAAATTTATCTATTGCTGACGGATCCAGCACCCGGAATGCCAGATTGTCTTGATCCGCGGTGCGGTGCGGGTTTAGGGGCGCACAACACAGGGTGGCCCGACAGAGTCCAACAGGTGGCCTGCGCGGGCTTCCTGTGGCTAGGCGCGGGGGAGGGAACCGCTATCTCCCTGAGGCCCGGCTGCCTCTGCTTCTACGGGCGCATCTGAACATGGGCAAGGAAATGCACTCCCTGCTTTCAGGCCCGATTTGGGGTGAGTGTGTGAAGCATCCAAATGCCTCCTGTCGGAAAACAGCGGCCTCATTGTGTGCCCGACTGAGGTTTCAACTTGCAGGCAACTGAGAGGCCATTCAGCTGGGCGGCGCGGAGTTGGCTGGTCCTCGGACTTGAGCCGTAGCCTTGCCCGAGGTCCCTGGCGGCAGTATCCCAGCTCCTCCGGATGGGCGGTGAGCCAAAACTCAAGAGTTTTGCTCCTCTGTACTCCACTGAAAGGAGGGGGAGTTGCAGGAACACCAGGAGTCCTGCTGGAGTTTATTCTTCTTTACTTGCCTCCTGCGCTTTTATCCTGAGATTCATACACCAGGGCAGGTATGGGCGGGCATATACCTGATGTGTGCGAGTTGAGTGTGGGGTCAGGTCGAATTTAAAAGCTGGATAGAAGAAACTAGAGAGAGAACATTTTGCACCCGCTAGGGAGACAAATAAGGAGAGGGCGCGAATGCGCTTCGAAAAAGTTTCACCTGAACTCACCTTTCTTCGGTGACTTCAGGTGTAGCCAAGTGCAAAATGTTTTAATTCCCCAAAGCTGTGGACCTTCCAAAGTAGAATCTTCTAAAATTGCTGCGTAACTTCATTCCTCGGCTTGCTCATTTGTAGATTGGGGACCGTTACCCGCGTTTATGGGTGAAGCTCTGGAATGTCTATAAAGGAGGTATTTAGAGGTGGATGTACAGGAGGGAGGTAGAGTAGCTGCGTGTGTGTATGTGTGTGTGTGTGTGTGTGTGTGTGTGTATGTGTGTGTGTGTGGCGTGAGGGAGAATTGGGAAAAGGAGGAGTTGTCTGGAGCCTACATGCATAGCAGGCACCACGTTTTTACTTAGATTCTGTGTTTTAAGGAAGTGGGTTGGCTTTGGGAAGAGTGATGGAGATTTGGGGAAGCTAAAGCTTTCCCAGCACTCACTTGGCGCTGTTATGCCACTGCCTGCCCACTTCGCAGTGAGATGTTTGTATATTGGAAACAAAGTGATGACACTCCAAAACACAAAAGAACCCTCTGCTATTGGTGCTTGCCCCAGTGGCTTTCCCTCCTGGGAAATGAAGTTCTGGAGACCACAGCTGTTTAGCCTGGCTGCCTTTACTCTGGAATTTTGCTGCATCCTTCCAGCCCCAATTCAGTTTCCCTCCTAAGGAGAGCCCTCCTCACGCAGGGCCTCTGGTAGCAGATCATCAAGGGTATCTAAGTAGAGTGAACTCCTGGATGTGTAGCACTCACTGGGTGATTTAGCATGGGGCGCATGCGTCACGAGAAACATGCTCCCTGGAGTCTTGGCATTCGAAAGGGAGCCAGGAGCTGGGGCCCTAGAGGAGAATGGGCAGGGAGGTATTGTATATTACGAAGAGACAGACGGATAGTCGTACAGAATTAGAGTAAGAAGAAAAAGGAGAAAGAGAAGCGGCACAAAGAGGGAGGGAGAGAGGGGCAGAGAGACATGACAAGAGAGGCAGAGACGCACAGAGACAGAGGGAGGGCAGAGAGAAGACAAGAAAGTTACAAGGTAGGCAGGGCAAAGAATAAGAGCAGGGAAGAGTGGCAGAGAGAAAGGGAAGGTGGGGAAAATAAATCCGAGGAAAGAACAATGTGAGAAAAGAGAATAAAAAGAGAAAGGAGTGGGAAACGGGGTGGAGAAGCCAGATGGGGAGGAGGGAAAGGGTTGGAAAAGAGAGGTGTCCTGAAATCACATGCTTTTTGTATTTAATTTTTGTAAACCATGCTGCCGTTCTAAATTCCACATCCTTAAGTAGCCAGCCCTTGATTAGTGTTTGTTTCGCTGAGGAGTCATGAATTACGCAGAAATTGGAAACCCTCTTGGAACTCCTTGGAGATGACATGAGTACAAGTTTAGACTCTTGGTAAATGCACACATGCATAAATGCATTTGTAGTCATAGTTTTTGTTTATTTGTAGTTTTCTGGGTAAATACAAGATGGAGAATTGAGGCAGAGGGTTGGTTCACTGACAATATTTGCCAGTGATTCTCTAACCTTGTTTTTAGAAAAATCTCGGGTAGCTTCTGAGAAACACAGATTACTAGAGCCACTCCCCTGGGAGCCAGTTCCAATAGGGACAGGAATATGCTACTTTGAGTGCCCCAGTTGGTCCTAAAGCAAGTGGTCCCTGAACTGGGTTTTGATAAGTGTGGTATAGATGGTATAACACCCTTCTCTAATTTGTTTCTGGATTTCTTCCCAAGAGATGCTGTTTAACATCCTATTCTCTCCGGAAAAGCTCATTTCTTGTGAATTTCTCTTGATAAAAGGAGAAGCCCAAGGAAGTTGCTCAGCCAGGGTTACCTTCATGAACCTCATTAATCACTGTAGTTCCAGGGGAAGGCAGATGACTCCTTTGGTTGACCTTGTCAGGGACTTTCACAACTAACAGGCACTGAGGATTCCTCAGGGCATTGCCTTGGGCATTCTTTATATACTATCTGCCCATTTAACACCCCCAGAAAGCTATGTCACGGGCACTGTTATCATCTGCATTTTAGCTGAGGAAACTAAGACTTTGAGAAATTATGTAACGTGTCCCAGAGAAATTACTTTAGTTGTCAGTGGCCTAGCAACTAGAAGGTACAGCACTAAAATTTGAGCCCAGGTGTGGTTGACTCCAGGATCTTTCATCCTAATTATGTGCCATCGTAGCTGCTAGTCCTAACACCCCTTTCTAGGCTGATGGAGCCAAAAGATCCTTGGAGATCTTTCCCAAGCATTCTCCCTCCCCACGCTACCATTTGAGAAAAACAAAAGTGGCTGAAGAAACTGGGAAATGTCTTGCCAGAGATCCTACAACCAGTAGGTGACAGAACTTGGACCAACACCCAGTGTCTGGAGTCTCAGTCCAGCATTCTCATCATACCAGTAGTTGTCATGCCTGGCTAATCATCAAGGTCACATGCATCATAGTCAAAACGCAATTTGCTGGACTCCCCTAAAGGCTAACTGAATCAAAACCTTGCGGGCAGCAACCTCAGAGATCTATCTTTTTAGTCCATACCCAAGCCTACATCTATCTATACATTACTGTTTTCCCCAGTTGTTCCCTCACTTCTGGATTCCAACACTGGATCCCTTCCAGACAGCTTCAGGAGGAGAACTCTGAGTCCCTCCTGCTTCCAGCCAAATAGAAATACATAAAGTAGTAGACTCTGTGTATGTTGCAGCCCACTGAGGTCCAAGGAAACAAGCAGGACCACCTGGAGGCAACTTTGAAAGCTCTTTGAGAAGTGTTGCAATCACAATGATGTTTGTTAAACCCTTTTTTTTTCCTATGTCAAGTCGGAAAGCATTTATAGAAACATCAAATGCTCTTTCAGTGCATGAGTGTTGGTATTTGTACTTATACTTGACACAAAATGATGCCATGAGCCAGGCCAATGTGTCACTATGTCCAAAGTGTCTCCCAACTTAGTGGATCTAGCTGTGGTGCGAGAAACACCCCTTTCCTCCCCTTCATTTTTATGCTTTTGACTCCCTCAGAATAGATCAGTGCCTCATTCTGCAGGTAGAAGGGAGCTATCACACATACACTCTGTGTCTTTCTGGCCCACTTAAACTGTTTTCTCAGTGACCTCAACATCTTTTCCCTTCTATTTCATTGAAAAGTGGCCAAAGGTGCCAGACATCTTGTCCAGCAAACTGTTTTGTCATCTTTCCCTTTTCAGATCCAAATTTATCTTTTGAGTATTTTGCTTTTAACCCTGACCTCTTATTCAAGGATGGTAATTGAGCCTTAGGTAGCATTGATAAGCAACTCTCTGATACATGTGTTTTAAATAATCACAGTCATTTGTGACTAGAACATGAACCAAGGAATACCTTACATTTATAATCTGCTTCATTAAGATGCTGAATTTTTTTTTTCCATTTCAATGGTGAGAACCTACTTTGCTGGCATGACTGGCAGTGGAGAAGTAAAAGGTGAAAGAAACACTTAATGGTTAAGATTTGGGCTCTGAGTGCAGACGCAGACAACTAGAGGTCAAAGCCTACCACTACCTGCCTTGCTTTTATAACTTTGGTCTGGTGATTCAACTTCTTCAAGTCTTCATTTCTTCATGTACAAGTTGAAGACAGTAACAGGTTGTCTTACGTTGCAGGGATTAGCCTCGAAGAATGATTGAAGTGCTTAGCATGGCATCCTGCATACCTGTCAGCTAGTA